CCAACAGACAGTGTGAAAAATTAGGTTATCTGCTTGCAATATCTGTATTTGTATAGTTTAATATTAATGACTAGACAAAAACACTCCTTCCTGAAGTGCTGTTTGCCTGCTCACAAATCTATTTTCGCACTAAGGTTCACAATGAGACCTTTGATGAAATGCATTTTAACATCTGAGGGTTAAGAAAAATCCACCCCTGAGTTACCTGCCAGTGCTTTTAATTACAGAACTTTGCCATTAGTATTCTTCTTTCCATTGAGCTAATAAAAATCATGCTGAATTTATATCTGTTGGTATCATCTTTACTGCATTTTTAATTCATTTGCTTCACTCTAATAAATATTTTCAGTGAAGTTAATTTAAGCAAACTGCTGAAGTACTTTGTTTCTCCAGAAACAATTGCTAAAGCCAGCTTCCCAAGCAAACCAAGGAATGAACAGTAGGACAAGGACAGAGTGTGCTTCTGTCAATGTTTCTCTTCCTCTACACATGTACACCCCCACTCAAAGCCATACAAACTATCCATGGAAATTAGTGGGTTTGAAATAGAAACAAACTGTCTTTCAATCTCTCAGCCTGATTCCCAGAACAGCGAGGGCAGGATGTACTATGATGAACACCATCTAACAACCCCCTGTGGATGTAAATATAAAAAAATACATTTTTTGCAGAACCACCAGTTTCCATGAGAGGGAAGCTTGCAAAGGAGAGAGTGCTGTCTACAGCAGGTTCCACTGTGACAGAGGAATCTTAACAAAACATCATGTGACCTTTCTGCATTTAAATTTTCAGTCCAAACTGTGCATTAATAGAGTGCTTGCAGCAGGACTAGAGAATGATTTATATAAAGACTGCTGTTAATTACTGACTGTGACAAATGAGAGAATGTAAGGCTCCTCAACTCTTGGTTCATTTTCCAGTGTGCTGCCACTGTACTCCACAGAGCTACAAACCAGTTGTGAGACCACCAACACGTCACGTTCTTCCTCAGCTGCTCTTCCCTCTGCTCCCCCTTATCCAAGGGACAACAGTTCTGAGGTGCCTGAAACCAAATCAACACCAGTTACATCCATACAATAAAACTTCTCATGTACAATGGGGTAGTTAATTCCTGTTGATGATCCATACTCTTCTTGCTATGGCAAAAGCAAGGCTTCTGAGATCTAGAACATCTCTGAGAGGATTTTTGTTGCTCCTGTCAGCAGCTGGGAGGGATCAGTATTTGTAAGCCTTGTGCTGCTGGATCTGCTCTGGCCGAGGTGAAAATGCAGAGGGAATCCAAGGGAAGGAACAAGTCAACAAAGAATAAATAAGTTGGCACAGACTGGAAAGAATAATCAGAAAACATTTGTGAGGCAGGACAGAACCTGCAGACAGTGGTAACTTCCACGCACATGGAACTATTTCCATCCTGGGTCTCAGGGTCAGTAAAGGGCTTTGAGCAGCTTTGATTCAGTGCACAGAACCTTCCTCCACAGAATGCATCCCCTGTAAATATATTTTGCAGAGATACTGTAAAATTCCCCAAGAACATTGTTATGGATTAATGGAGTATGGAATAGTCTTAATGGGAAATTAAGCTATAACAACGCACATCAAAATCTTTACACTGCCACTGTAAAAATACTTATTAAAAGATATAGCTGGCAAAGTTAACCTTTACTTTCATAAAAGGGCTGTGCTCTTCATTCCTGGCAGGCAATCGAACCTGCCTCCACTCTCCTGTCTGCCCAGCTCTCCACAGCTCTTTCTGGGTTATCTTACCCCTGAAAGTTAGTGCTTCTCTCACAACCTGCACCAAAATTTAGTCTGAACAGCACAGAGAAAGGTGTCTCTCAGCACCAAGCATCCCTGTCTTACTCTCAAAGGTTAGTCATCTACTTCACATCCCTTGGATCTCAAAGACAGCTGAACTGTTTTGTAGCATCAGGCCCCCCAAAAGCTACTGAATGAAATGATTTGTATGATATAAACACGTATCAGAGATCAAGAGGTGGACAAAGAAAGGCAACTTCAGTCAGTGTCAATACTTATGGATAAAATGTTGTCCACTTCCTCTTTAATTGTAGGATGAGCTACGAGGGGAACTGAGCCTTCAGTTCAGTGCTACAGGTACCATTCTGTCCCTACTGACAGAAGAGATTAAATGAACACAAATACCATTACAAAAGTGGCAGCTGCATTTCCTCAGCGATTTTGTCACTTCTGAAAACACACAGAACACCAACAGTCCCAGACTGTATTCTCCTTCTGAACTAATCCACTGACTGCTTTCCACCTCAGTTCAGTGGGAGCCAAACTGCAACCAACACCACAACACATGAAATCACCTCAGTGATCTGTGGGATCAGGCAGAAAACTCATCAAATCTACATGGAACTGACTGAATCCCACGTGCTAAACCACCTTCACAAGGTCCACTGTGACCTGACTGCAGCAGAAAATGACGGAGCTGTATCCTGAGTGATTCAGGAACACCATGTTTTTTGGTTTATTACTCTTGGAGAAGTACACCCACTATGACCTTGCTTTCTGCACTGCACCCCCAGTTCCCTCAGACCCTTCTGTGGGAGACTTCTGCAAGTTTCCAACTTCCTTTCCTTTATCCTTGAATGGCAGTATCCACAGACACTTTAACTTCACTTCTTATCTCATGCTAAGGCCTATTTTCTGTGGTTACATCTAATATATGCTCTATGCACAGCACCTCTCAAATGTAACCAACTAATGTTTCAAAGAAGGTCATAACAAGATAACAGATACCAAAAGGAAAAAGAATGTAAATATTCTAACAGTGCCCTATCTTTTAACTCCTCTGTATCTGCACTGAGCTGAAACCCCCATTGTTCCCACTGGTTCTATCAGCAGAGCAGTGAGATGTGTGTGAGCTACAGGAATTCCAGAGGAAACCAAACCAGAAACTCCTCTACAGGAACCTGTCAGATGTGCTCCAACTACTGACAGCGACATCAGGACTCAAACCAATTCCTTCAGCCTCAAACCATGCCCTTGGTGAGGAAATTCAGTGCAGCAGGCCACACCAAATCTAGCCCAAAGTAAAACAAGCCCTAGATTTCAGCAAAGGGGAGCTGTAGGGCCATACCCACTGATGGTTGCCATGTCCTCATTTCCTGGTCACACCAAACTCCTCACAAGCACATACACAGCCTTAGTTTTCTCCAGGTTTCTCAGTGACTGAGTTTACTCTGTGGAAAAGCAGAAGCAGTGGAATTTAGGTCATTACTGAAACTGCTTTGCTCTGTTTGCACAAGCCTTTGGTGGAACGAAGTGCCAGACTACTCCTTTTCCCCCCCTAGAAAGTTTCTTCACTCAAACCTGAAGCACAGGTGCAACCTCAGTCCAGATGCACAGGTACTCTCTCCTGGTTCACCCTCCTGTAGTTTACAGCCACATGTTAATAGCTGGAAGAACAGCACAACTGGGAAGCCCCTTTCACAAGCAGTATCTGGGAAACAATCACAAATGTATTTTCCATGGCAGAAACACACAAAAAGGAGAAGCTTAAACAAAGAGGATATAGCTGATTTATGCATAAAAGGAAGTTGGTTTGTGTATAGGAGTGACTTGCTTATGAAGTTTTAAGCATTAATATTCCTAATAGAGTTAATAGTACTCTAACTTAAATAGATCATGTTTGGCTCCAGGGACAACGTACTGAACTGCTTCTAGGTAATTCTTCACTGCTGTCTCAATACTAGCTCAACTTATTTCAAGTTCAATTTTGACAAGTTCAAGTCCTGAACAGTCACTGTGGACTAGTTTGTGTATGCAATGAAAAAAGAAAAACCAAACCACGAAACTCATAATATTGCCTTGAACACAGGATTTGCTCTTTCAGAGAGCCCAGCGACAGTAATATGCATTATACAGTCTCCAGCGACCCAGAATGCTTTTACAAAACGCCTTTCAGAACTACTCACTCCTCATAAAGCACAATCTCACTGAACTGCAGCAGCTGCTTCTGAAGAAAACACAGAAGCATATCTAGGCCAGAGCAAATAAAGAACAGCATTTCCACCTCTGGTGAAAAGGTTTGAATTTAGGGGCAACACCCAGCTAACTATTGTTCCTGTTACATACCTTGGATGTTTTCTTGGCCAGAAAACAACATTTTCCAACAGCCAAAAACTGAGAGAGTGCTACAGAGCATGAGACTGGCCTAAGCCCAAAGCAGCGCCTAACAAAAGCAACTTTTTCTTTGAAAAGCATCACCTGGCAGTGCTCTTTGACAGCAGCGCCGCGATTGCCCCACCCAAGATCCATAGAACACTGGAATAACACTGGAATAACCAGAAACTGAGCCGGACAGCCCGTGGAGAACACGCTGCATCAGCAGGGACGGAACAGGAACAGCAGGGGAAAACCTCGGGAAACTACACTTCAGCAAGGATCACCACCGGCATGTAAACAACAGTAACTTTTTAAATCCTTTCTGCTTCACCCAGCTCAGAAAGTTACAAGTCACCCTCTCAATTACCACCGCTTTTTTACCTAAATAGATCAAGCCAAATCCTCCCTGGCCGATCTGACTGCCCAGCCTCCAGGTTTTTCCTTCGGTGTCTTTCAGGATCATGTCTTTAGGGAGAGGGACTGGCAGCTTGCCTCTGCCGGGACCCTTGGGCGGCATCGTACCTTGAGAGGGGGAGAAAATGAAAGAGAAAGTTGGTTGAGAAAAGCTGCCAGAAGATACACTCTACCCCGGCGGGCTTTGCCCGCAGAGCGCAGCAGGGGCGCGAGGCGCTGCCCCTCAGTCCCGCTCCCCCTCACGCACCTCCACAGAGCGCCCTCGGCTTCCCGCCGCCGCCGGCCGCAAACTTCCCGGCCGGGAACTTCCGCAGCAGCAGCAGGAGGAGGAGGAGCGGGCGGCGGGATGCCGTGTTCCTGCGGGGAAACCCTGGGCGGGGAACGGGGCAGGACCGGGACACCCCCAGGCCAGCCCCGGTCGGGACGGGACACCCGCCGTCGCCTCAGGGCCCTCAGCGGGGCGGGGCGCTCGCCATTTCCCGCCTCCCCTCAGCCCGCCCGTGAGGCGCCAACACCGCCCTCGCCTCAGGGCGATGGAGCTACGGGGAGATGAAGCGGTCAGAAGGAGCTGCGTGTTGGGAGTCAGAACAGTGGGGAGATGGAGCGGGGAGTTGGAGCTGGGAGTTGGGAGACGGAACAACAGGGGGATGGGGGACGGAGCAGGGAGATGGCGCCCTCGAAGCCACCTCAGCCCCCAGGCGCTCCGGCTCCTCGCCTCAGGGAGGTGATGGAGGACGGAGATGGCACCTGCCAAGCCGCCTCAGCCCCAGAGGCTCCGGCTTCTCGCCTCAGGGGTGAGGAAAAGGGAGCTGGAGAAGGGAGATGGGAGATTGGAAACGGAGCAGCAGGGAGAGGGAGCAGGCAGAGAGGACATGCAAGGCCGCCTCAGCCTCAAGTGCTCCAGCTCTCCAGCTTTTTTAATCTGGGCTTTGCAAGTTAGAAACTTTTTCTTTCCTTTTTTTTTTTTTTTTTTTTTAAAGTTATTTGGTGCTTAGCAAAGTAGGTGATCAGACTGTTTCCTGACTGAGGTAAAAAAAAAAAAAGCTCAGCTCACAAGGGTTTTGGGTGTAGCAAATCCCTTCAGGAGGTGCAGTGAAGTCACAGAGTTGACATAGTGCCACTCCTCAGGCCATTTCGATTTTACCTCAGGATCTTCCTGGCAGAGGACAGGGATCACGATTTACACACAGAAACACAGGTACCCCAAAACAGCACGGGGAATGGCCACCTCAGGTGGGTTAGCCAGTGCTCCAGGAGACAGACAGCTGACCCAGGGGTGGATCAGCCATCACCTTGGCAATAAAGGATACAGTGAGGTGGGGTTTAATTCCCCAAGATCCCAGGGAAACAAGCCGCCATCTTGAGCACAAGCCGCCATTTTGTGTCAGCTTTGCTTTGTTATCAGGGCCCGTTCCCCCGTGTGGAGCTCACTGTGGGCCACCACAGCATAGTGACAAGTCCTTTTGAGGAAAAAAAAAAAAGGGGGGGAGGTTTAAAACTTAAACTTCTAAGTCATTTTTTTAAAAAAAAGTTTTTAAAAAAGTTCCAGAATAATCAAAATCCAGAACGTCTTCAGCAACCCCATAATTTGCAGGTGAACTTAAAAGTAGTGACACAGATTATGACTGCAAAGTCTGTATTGCTGTCAGTACATTAAGCCTTGATGTAACAACCCTTTCTGCTTCATCAGTCTTGCAGACTTTGTGGTTTTATCATCAGTGAAAGGACCGGCTGAAAAATTGCCAATAGAAAGCTCAGCCGTAAAGGGTAGAAATTCAAGATTGCCATAAAGCGTTTCATAGGGTTTCCCCTTTTAGCAGCAGCTGTCAAAACAGACTGTAGGAGGGTGGTGCTGGCATTTTGTTGTTTATTTAAAAGAAACAAACAACCACAGATGCCCAGTCCAGCATCAAAGAAACCATCACCATTTATGGAGAGAATTCACACTTTTAGCTCAATTTGAGCAGTGCTTGGGGTATCTGTTACCTGGGGTGAAACTACTATTCTGCCAGGAGTGAAGAATATTTTCAGAAGTAAATTGTCTCTAAATACTTGCCTGGGAATCAGAGGATAAGCCTCTGTTTAAGGAAACAGCTTTTTTTGCTCACCTATTGCAAAGAGGTGTCCACATGATTAAACTGAAATGAAAGTGTGCTGGGGATCTTCCTGCTTCCGAGTTTTTTTCCCTGCCCACAAAATTTCACCAGAATAAGGAAGTAAAACAAATCAGATGTGGTTTATTTTGTCATCCAGACATTTAGCAGGTACCAGTGATAGTATTACATTGCAAGCAGACATCTACATTGTTACATATCTCAAGACAGTTTGTTGTTGGTTGTTTTTTTTTTTTTTTTTTGATCCAGGTGAAAACACCATAAATTAAAAGACTCCAAATTTGTAGAAATTGTGTGGAGAAAAAAAAATAGATTGAGTACGAATGAATAGTAAGAGACATGATCCTAAAGAAACAGAATTGATTAGATATTCCTATTTTTGTTTTATTTGTAAGTATGTTAGAACTGGAATTGCCTTTTGTCCCCACAGAACCACTGAGGATACTTTAACATCAGCAAATTAGTAGGACACATTGATTTAATGAAAGGTTGTGGCTCAATGCAAAACTTCCCAGCTTGTAAATATGAGTTGTTTTGAGCTCATTTAGCTCTTTTTATTCATGAGGAGATCACAAAAGAAGAAAACAAGTTCATGCAGTTCTGAGGAATAATGAAGTAATCAAAAAAAGGCTATTTCAAAAATAGCCATTATAAGCTAATAGCCAAACTAAAAGTAAAAATAGGTGCACAGGGGTCTATTTAATTGCTAATGGATACAGTAGCAAAATGCAATCTGTTACTGGTTTTCAAAAACTGAAGTCTTTATCTATATTAATATTGTCCAGAAAGTTCTTTTCTTCCGTTTTAGGCAACAAGACCACATGACATCCCTTTGACTCCTACAACACACACCTGCAGAGGTAGTTAAGGTTTTTAAATAAAAGTTTTCTTGTACTAGCAAAAGAAACTGCAGATTTACAGCTTCAGCTTCATCCAGATGGAAGAATACCTGAAGCCTGAGCCATCCTTGATAACGTGCAGCTCCTCCACAGCTCACACAGTGTAACATTCTGTCATATAAAAGGGTTTAAGGTACGTATGCTACAAGTCATGGAAAATAACTGTGGGATTGTTGGGTTGTTTGGGGTTTGTTTGGGGTTTTTTTTGAAAGAGAATAGGTATGAAGTTAAAGATTTTCAAGCTTTTATCATTCATTACAAGAGTTTAAAACCCTTAAAGGCAATTGCACAGGAATGTAATGGAGGCTAATAATATCACTCATACAAAAAAAAGTACTAAAAGGAAAAGTTTCTTGCACATACCAGGCCACTCCTGAAGAATCAGTTTATTATTTAAATCCAGATCTTTATTAATAAATAACAGTAACTAGTAGGCCCACAAAAAATAGCATGTGAACGTTACTAGCAAATTTTTTACAAGTCCATTTTGGACGCTGCAAAACACAAAATTCCCATATACATATTTTTAAAAGTCAACAGCCCCAAGGCTTTACCTGAGAAAGACTCTAACCAGATTAGAAGTTGATAGCAGGCCCTTTGGCCCTATAAATAGCACATCCCTGTGTCTGTGACTAAGGAATCCTCTTTTCCTGTTGGGCTGAACTGGAGACAAGGCTTTTTTTTCCTGCTCTGCTCAGCAGGGCATTAGCAACCCTCCCCCAAAAAAACGTTAGCCTCATTTAGGCACCTTAAAACCTCTGTTGCCTTCAAAGTTGCTACAAATTAGCAAATGAGGTGATGCAGGGGACAAGAAGAGCCAAAATAATTATAGATACCAGGGTGGTTTTTTTGCTTGGTTTTGTTTCTTTCAGGAAAGCCTAATTATTACAGAAGCAATTTCCCTTCAAGGTGATACAGCCACCATTACTGCTATTTTCAAGAATCCTTACAAGAGAAAGGTGTGTATTCTAATAAGAGTGAAAGTGTACAAATCCTACCAGTATCAACCAAAAATGCTATCAGATTGCTGCAAACAGCTGAAGGCCACAGGCCCTGCCCTGGAGGATTTATCCTGGGTGCAGTTCAACTGCATTTGTTTCTGTCTTTGTTTTAAAGCACTCTGCGTTGAACATTCATCCATCTTCCCTTTATTTTAATCTTTTTTTCTTCTCACTGCTGAAACCCGAGCTTGAATATAGACTGTTGCAGTCAATTATACGAAATCTTACAGTATCACATACTCAAAGCCCTCAAATTTGCTGCAGCAGGTGAGCACTTGTAGCTTCTCTCACTGTTGCATTGTGATGCTTTTGTGGTATTTAACACTGACATTTTAGCCCTTCCACATTTAATTCCACTCCCCCTTCTCCAGACCTCACTGTTGCTTAAAATATCATGGCTAAATTTACTCTAGAGATGTAACATCTCTGTATTAAGACCATTGACAGCCAGGCATCAAGTTTCCCAGTTTCTGCTGAGAAAACTATTTGTGTTGGTGCATCTGCTCAGAGTCCCCTGCTCTGGCTGTGCCTGTTCCGTTGTCACTGTGCTCGCTGCCCCTTCCTCACAACTTTGGAAGTGATTGCTTTCTGCAGTATCAGGGGATCTCCAACATCCAGGGGCCATGTTGCTCAACTCAGTCATTGTCTGACACCCATTTCAGAGACTCCTGACTCCATTTTGTGTGACTTGCCCCCTGATTGAGATCACCTAATTACAATAATTAGGCAGCTCACCTCAGGATATTATGAGAGCAACCCACCCAAACCTAAGTCCATATGGTTTGCAATAGCTAATGAGTCAGTTAATGTGCTATGTCCAGGAGTAATGGACACTCAATATGGATGGCATGGAGACATCATTTACCAACTTCCTGACTGATTCAGGTTTTTCATGTAGACACTTCTTGTAGTTTGCATCTCCTGGTAACTTTAAAGTATTAAAGGCTTTTACATGTTAAACAGAGCGGAGGAAAACAGCTGAGGCTTTTAAAAGGCAGGTAAGAAAATACTCCTCTCTTTAAAGAAAATACAGAAGATTGGAGATCTTGGGAATTTCATCTGAAATATAATACTGGGAATTATTTGTAAAGTGCTGCTAAAGTACAGGAGGTGACAATGGCAATAGGTGACATCTACTTTAATGTAAAGTAGCCTGAATGAATGACTCCCACACTTCTAGAGGGGCCGCTTTAGCCTCTGGAATTTGTGTACCCAGTCTCCCTCAACACTCCCCCTGCTGCCGATGCCATGGAATTGAGCCCCAGTTCTGAACTAACCAGATCAGGGCATCAATACAACAAGGGCAAACCTGGCAACAGAAGCACCAAAAGCCCTGAAGCAAGTAAGGGATGTGTGGCTTTTGAATGAGTTACAGAATCTGTCCAGCCAGGACCGGGATTCCTGTCCCCGAGCCTGTTCCTGCTCTCCTGATTTTCATGGCTGTTGGGATGAGATGTGACTCCCTGTTCCTGTCACTGTAGCTGAAAAGACAGCCAGACCCTGGGTGTGTTCCTTGTCTCTTGAGTATCAGGGGTTTTCTTGCTCGTGCCTTTAGAAAGCACTTATTTCTGAGCACTGAAGGAAAAGTGTTCTCTTTTCCATGTTTACTTTCAGAAATGTGTGAAGAGGTGATCTGAGTTTATTGCTGCTCTGGGAATGGCTTGTATTTGCAGGGAGAGCAGGATATCTAGTGGCTAGAGCAGAGAGGGGGATCAGGAATGATTTCCCTTATGGGACTAATTCCTGGAGTCCTAATCCTGGCTGTGCTACTGACTGATTTTATATGAATAATTTCATTTTTGTGTCGTTTTATCCATTTGAAGCACTCTGGGTGGCTTGGTTGGGGGCACTGAGATTCTCAGCAATGGGATAAAGAGATTACAGGAATATTAGTAGTAGCACACCAGTGTTCTTGGTCAACAAGAAGCAGTAGCTTCTTTTGCAATGTATGTGAAAAGGTCTAGAGAAGCCAAGAGGAATTTGGCAAAGCACTCAGGGAGAAGGTGGATATAATCACTTCAGTCTTTCCATTTCTCAGATTAACCACATGAAGTTGTTCAAGAAGGGAAACTCATCTGTCATAGCATTCATTATTCACATATCAATGCTACTTTTTATGTATAAACTTAATTATGATGAGGGGATATATTAAATATGACTCGTTTTACTGCAAGATTGATTTTTTTTTTCCCCTGACCTCAGAATAAATATTGATCTTCATGATCTTTAAATGTAGTGCAAAGGTTGTTTTATTAATGGCATATTAATAGAAAGTAGCCCTGACCATGCAATATTAATATATTTGCATTGTTAGTCTCAGATCCCATCCAGAAGGAAGGAGGCAGGGTGCCAATGCCTTCTTTCCCAGCAGAGATCAGGAGGCTGTTGATTATAATGACCATTAAGACTCCTTTCAGTTTGTTGTTGTGTTTTGGTTTTTTGGTTTTGGGGTGTGTTTGGGAGTTTTTCCATTAAAAACAGCGGTGAAGTGACAAATCCAGTGTATGGTTTGCCTGATAAAATAGTGCTGTGTCATGTGTCCAGCATTCCCAGGAAAGCAAAGCACTGTCCTGACCCGATGGTGCTCCACTACCCACTGCCATGGGGTCCATTCCATGAGCAGAATCACAGTGGAGAGAAGACATGGGATAATTTGGTGGTTTGGGATTCAGTGCCTGGGGCTCTGATTTCTTCAATAATCAGGTTAGGAATTTTCTTAACAGCTGATTTTTAAAAGCAGTTGTCTTAGTCAAGTGAGGGTTCGCTTCAATTAATTTATTTTTCTCTTCTGATTTGCATTTATAGTGACTCTTGAAAATCCAGGCTTGGAGCTGCTGTTCTAATGGTTGGCTGAACCAAGACAGGTGTGTTCTTTTTAAATACTCCTCACAGAGGAATTGTATGTGATTTTTTTCTGAAGTCTGCTCTACAAAGAGCAGGGATATGAGATCACACACTGAAATAACCTTTAAATAGTTCCTATAATTCCTGAGAAAACAGTGCCCACTTAGCTAAAGGATGCCTTTTATAAACCCTGTTTTATCAGCAGTCTTTCTGTTTAATACATATTTTGAGTGGTTTGTGCCAGGTGACACCAGTCAAGAGGCAAGATGACAACTTCCATTCCATAGCTTATTAGAACCAAAGGAAATATATATGTGCAGTATCACACATTGCCATACAGGAAATACCATTAAGAAAGGGCTGTGACATAAGCCACTAAAAATGTGGTAGCCTGCCTTCAAAACTTTGCAGCTTTAGAACTAATTTTGACAGAAGGAATAATCATAGTCCATCGTGATAACTGGAAAGTGGAATAAAAGGCACTGCTGCTTTGCATCGTGCCAAAATAACTTGGTATCTATCTTTGCTAAGAAAACTGATTTGCTAGACAAGAGAAGTGTGATAGAACCAATTCATTTGGACTTCGAGGTGTTTAATGCAGAATTACATGGGAAACTATTAATTAAGCTAGAGAATGTGTGAATAAGTGCAAAAAGTATTAAACAGTGGGCAAGGAGTAATAAACTGAAAGGGGAAATACCAGATGACAGAGAGGTTACCAGTTTCCAAGGGATCTACCTCAGGACCTGTGTCATTCAGTATTACTGATGTCATGGGCAACAAAAGCAAAATAGGTGTGTCCTTAACCAATTTGCTGAAGAATAAAGTTGTGAGGCACTGGAGTATTGGTGTAAGAAACAAAACAGAATTTCATGGTACAAAACTTAATGGCTTTGCTTCTTGAAACTGCTGGTATGGAGGAAGAAGAGGAGGATCACAGGATGACCGTGAGCAGGTAACAGGACTTAGATGTCTGAAGAAAAGTCAGACCTGATTCTAGGTTGTATCAAATCAGATATTTTTACGATGAAATTCAGAATACATTTTTGGTGGTCTTTCACTGAGAATTCACCTTTACAGCCCTGTCCACTCTGTAAGTGTTAAATCATGAAAGTTGGCTCAAACAATGCAGAGGGCAGTGATCACATCCAGGTTTTTCTGTGCAAAGCAGAGCTGGATTATGGAGTGGAAGAGCAACTCTTCTGCTGGAGAGCAGTTCTTGTAAGAAACAGATTTGATGAGAAACTGTGAAGAAATTTCTTGCCAGAGGCAGAGGAAGCAGAATTCTGTGGTTTTTCAGATGTCAGGTGTGTCGAGGGGTAGGAGCACAAGGAAACCCCTTTGAATAAACAGTAAGTGGTAGGGAATTAATTAACTTGATAGTTGGATGGAGAGCTGGGCAGAGAACAGAAACAGGATATTTGTTTTGTACCTTCAGAAAGGTAATAGTGAGGCTGAAGGTATTATGATGTATATTATAGGTAGGTATGATAATATTTTAGGGTATTCAGGGCTAGATTTTGCAATCAACCCATCCTTCTCTGCTTCGTGATGTGAACACCTATTACTTGCATATATTTTCATCCCTTGCACAGGAGAAAAGGGCAAGAACTGATGAGTTTTGAGATAATTTTGTTTTTTCCCCACAGGATTTTCTAGGAAAAGAAGTGATTTCAGCCAATTTAAGCACTGTTATTAGTTTGGTGCTTCCAAAGTGTAGAGATACAATAATGGTTATTCCAGTAAATTAAGACAATGGCATTTAACAAGTGTTCCAGTAACATCCTGGGCTCAGTTTGTCCCAGAAGTTTTCAAGGGAAAATTGGACCTGTTTACTTGTTGGCTTAATATTTTGATGAAAATGTAACTTTTTTGCACTTTTCTGTGACTTCAAAAATGAGTAACTAACTTCCATATTAGGGATATCAGCAGCCACAGTTAATGTATGCTACTGCAGAGGGTCCTGTGAATTTGCTTGTTTGTTTGTGTGTCTGCTCTTGGCTTGTCTGCTTCTGGGTGTGATATTTTATTGGAGCACATGATTTAAAGGAGCTGGTTGCCTGCTGGGGTATTTATCCTATATAAATTCTACATTAAATGACAAATTTTAGACCCATCAGATCTGGGCAGAAGACTAAGTCCATCCATTGAAATCGTATTTGTATCATTACTTTCTAATGAATTCTGTACTACAGCAGGTGTCAAATCATATCTGTTGTTTTGCAATCGAGGACGAATAGAAGATGTATTGCTGTTGCAAATGAATCTAATATGAATCTAATGAGCAGTAATGAGCAACTGTTTTGTCATTATTGAGGCAACCACTGTGATGCTAATAAACTCTCATTTCTGCTCTTTAGAAAAAAGCACTGACCAGGATTTATAACGTGGCCTTAATGTCCCAAAAGCCTGAGGCAAAAGAGAAGAGTGGAACCCCTAAACTGAGCATAATTTAGTAATTTTCTGTGTGGCAGGCTTCTTATTTTCTCTTATTAAACGAAACCTGGTTTAAATCTTTCAAGCTTTCTTACATTTGAAAGGAAAAAGATGAAGAATGAGTGTCTATTAAGGGAACATAAAGTTAAGGAGATGGGCATTCTACCTTAATTTTCTTTAACATAAGTGCACTAATTCCATACTTCCACACTTGACAGTGCTTTTGTAGTGATAAAGGCAACTGTGTGCAACTGTTTTAAAAGCAGTCACTTTAAAAGTAACAGGCCATTAAATCAATATAGAGCTATAATATATTTTGGAGGAAATATCACAACTCTTTTAATTGAAGCTTCTTTTTTTTTTTTTAAATTTATTTGCATTCTCCATGGGTCCTAAGAGTGCTGAATAAACAGAAATACCTTTGACACAATAGCATCAATAGCTGTACCACGTAACTGAAATGTAAACGAGTTCTGACTCCTGTGTGGCTCTGCCTTTCCCTACTATCAATAATACATGGGATGATACATAAAGCTGTGGAAAAGGGACAGCTGGGTACACGGTGCTCACAAGTGGAGCACAGGAAAACCAGTCAGCACTGCTTCTCTAAAAGCTAAGTACTATACTTCCATCAAAAAATAATGCTTCTGTGTATACAGTCTTCATGGACTCATCTCTCTGTGCAATAAAGCTGGATGCACTGGAGAGATCATTCCAGTATTTCATTTGGAGCTCTGAACTGTTCTGTGTAGGGTGCAGCTGTTTGCTTTACTACAGTACACTGCAGACTTGCTTTAAGTGCTCAGTAGAGACTGTGTGGCCAATATTTAAGGTATTATATAGCCACAGCAGTGGCACTGTGAATTCCTGAGCGAGCCAGGGGATGGGCAGTGGGGCACATCACAGCAGCCATCCCTCAGAGCTGCAAATAGGGCATCAGAGGGGGTGTGAAACCAGAAACTGTTCCTTCAGTGCTGGGGCATCCAAAGGACTTTGGGCCCTTTGAGCAGGAGCTCAGTTAGCAACAGTTCTCATTCACTGGCATTCCAGTTCCATGTCCTGCTGCAGGAGGGAGGGGAGCAGAAGTCAGGCTTTCCATTGGTTGTCCTGCCGGTGCTGTGCTGTTGTCAGGGGGGGCCATTGCATTCAGCTTCTCCTCCCAGCATCAGGAATACATGGATCAGATTTACTCACCCTTCAGGGACACCACAGGATTGGCTTTCAGTAATGCTTGATGTGCAGAGTTGAAAAAGGCAGCTCAGCCCAACAGCATCAGTGTTCTAGAACTCACCTTTCTAGAGGTATCCACACTCATTCCAAAATTCACATGGCTTCTTTCACTCCTGAAGGAATTAGTTCTCATGCTCCTCAACTGTTTTGTACCACAAACCAAGGCATGGTGAGGGGAGACAATCAGGAGCTTTGCTTCGAAATTGTAACCCTGATCTGAACTAAACCCCTGATGGAGGTGCATCCATAGTCTGGAAGGAAAGGTAAAGCAAGAACAGGCCCAAGTCTAAGTCCAAACATTACTATTAAACTACCACCTTTAGTCAGGAGAGTCTGTGAGTTGCACATGTTGTAAAAGGATTGTGATTCTAAAGTTTTTGTAAGAAACATCTGATTTCTTTGTGCATTATGGTGTAATGTACTGTATTAATGTCTTCATTGGGGATTTGATTCCTTAGATGATACAGAAATTTTTGTGGCACAGCACACCTAATGAGGGCTTTTACACTGGTCGAGGAATTAATTGTACCATACACAGAAGTTACAATTTGAAGGTGTAAATTAATATTGCATAAAAGTTCAAGACTATATATTTTGCTTTGGTATCTACAATTTCACAAAATCCTAGAAATCAGGTGAGATCACTACAATTTTTCTGCCTGTATGAGATGGAACTGCCCTGTGTGAGTGTCTGTCCCTCACACTGTCATTACATCACTCCAGTGACCTGCTGTAATTGAGTGGTTCATCCCATCGGGGCCTTATGGAAAGTAGATTGGCATGGGAAGGCATTTGAGGAAATCCCTTAAGGATGTAAATATCACTTGCAGGAATCCAGAGGCATGTCTTTAAGAAAAGAAAAAAGATTTCCTTCCAAGAATCCCAGCCTTCATGTGCTACTGCTTTTTACATAAATAATGAAACAGCTGTTTAGCATAACCACTGAAAGCACTGAAAACACCAAACCCAGCCAGTCTCCAGAGACAGCCTTCCCTTTGCTTTTGGCTCTCTCCACTGTTCTGTTGCCTCCTCGGAGTAAATGTCAGCAACAAATTAATCAAGGGGTCATTAAGCTCTAATAATCTATCCCAGTCCGTCCCCTTGTTCACACAGAATGGAATCACAGAGTCATTTAGGTTGGAAAAGACCCTTAAGATGGTCGAGTCCGACTGTTAACCCAGCACTGCTGAGGCCACACTAAACCAGGTCTCTGAGTTCCAAATCTGCTCCTCTTTTAAATCCCTCCAGGGATGGTGAATCCATGACTTCCTTGGGCAGCCTGTCCCAGTGCTTGACAACCCTTTCATGGAAAATTTTTTTCCTAATGTCCAATCCAAACATCCTCTGGTGCAAT